GCCCGGCGCCCGTGGGGGGAGGGAGCCCCAGCCCCGGGAATGCGGCTATGTGGGGGCCCCGCCCTCCAGGCGCCCGGCGGGCGAACGGCCACGCCCCCTGGCGCCCGCCAACTCGAAAAGGTTGGGGACCACTGCCCTAGATGGTCCTTCAGAGCTGAAAGGGTCCACCATCAGGTCCACTTCCTCCTCTTCCTCCTCTGCTTGGAGGTGCAGATCTTGCCCATCTGAGAAGGAACTGATGAGCCTTCATATCCATGGCAGGCAATGTAGTTGTAGAAGTGCCTGCCACAGCCTCATCTGGAGAGGAGAAGGATGCTGTCCCTGGAATAGGGACCTCTTGGTCTCCTATCTCCATTTTTCGTGGCTGAGGATGGTGCCACTTCCTCCTCTTCCTCCTCTGCTTGGAGGTGCAGATCTTGCCCATCTGAGAAGGAACTGATGAGCCTTCATATCCATGGCAGGCAATGTAGTTGTAGAAGTGCCTGCCACAGCCTCATCTGGAGAGGAGAAGGATGCTGTCCCTGGAATAGGGACCTCTTGGTCTCCTATCTCCATTTTTCGTGGCTGAGGATGGTGCCACCTGCAGAGAGGACTGGGGTAGGGTGCTCACCTGAGGACCATACACAGTATGGATGGCAGACAGGGTCAGCTCCAAAAGATGATGTTGCTGCTGGTCCTGTTCCCCAGCCACCACAGGCGTGTGGCCCATAGTGCCTGAAAGGAGGGATTCTGGGCACAGACATCAGGTCTGGAAACAGGGCCCTGAGCATGGTAATAGGCCCACGGGGTCCAAAAGGGCCATGGACCTTGCCACTGAAAAGGAGATCTGAGTTGCTGGGGCCTCCTGCTGTGTATGGTGCCAGAAGTAGTGGTGGGAACAAGAATAGTACCAGCTTCAGGATGAGGCTGAAGATTCACTCTCCTCTCCCAAAGAGTAATCTATGCTGGACCACAATAGTGCTGACTCCAATAGTGCTGGGGAATACCACCAAGGAGAGACCAAAGCCTGACACCGCATTGTTGCCTTTCCTCTGTGTTGTCTTGACAGTGCCACCATCGTCAATGCCACCATCAGTACCAGCATTACTCAAGCCACCATAAGCAGCGCCCTAGTCACCATTGTCATCAGAGCTGGCATCGGTGACACCATTGGTATGGCATGTGATGCTGGCACAGGCGTTGACACTGTGTGAATGCAGAGAAGTGTGTGATGGTCCTTGACCTGCAGCGGTGCCTGGCAATGCCAGGAAGTCCACCGTCATGGCTATCAGATTCCTGGTGGCTTCAAAAGCATCAGGCATAGACTGGAGTTCTCTCTCTTTCTCCAAGTGCTCCCACCCAGACATATTATAACAACCAGGCTCAATGGCTGAACCAGAGCCAACACTGTCAGGAATGGTGGTGCCACATGTGGATACCCCTGCACTAAGTGTGCCCCGCTGATGTTTTTTCATAGTGCCTTGGCAGGAAACCTGTCCCCCTCAGGCTTTTTTTAAAGCTGGCACCAAGGACTTGGAGCAGTATTGTGCAATTGAACATGCATGGTGGGGGAAGCGGTGCCTCTGGTCTGGATACTTCTATGGTGTCAAGAAATTGCAAATGGATGCTGGAGGCACTACATATCACCGGTGCCAAGACCATATCTGGTGCCAGTTGGGGCCATAGTGAAGAGCTTAAGGCTGTGGTATCGCTCCTTCTTAGAAGCACCGAATAATGAGACACTTGTCCATTTGATGTCTCTTATCCAGACACTTCAGGCAATCAGCATGAGGGTTGCCCTTTGGCATATGTCTGTTGCAAGTCTTGTGAAAGTGGCATGCCCTGATGAATAGATTAAAGTGGGAGGGGACCTCTAACTACTACAACTAGATCTATAACTATACTATAATTGAAAAATGATATACAAATGCTACCTACATTAGGGTACCAAAATATTTGTGAAGCGAGAGACTGGAGCTGTTCCAATGACCGTCATGGATGGTAAAAAGGAACTGGAGGGGTGGGGCACAGTTCAGCAGTGTTTTATATACTATCACTCCAAGGGGCTCCAGAGCTGACCAACAGATACTGCTAGGGTCAAAAGTCCACCTGCAGCAAGAAGCTACTTTTGCTTACTAAATCAATTAACATTCAGAGAATTGAAGACAACTCTCAAAATTGTGGAGAAAAGAGGTCAAGACCAATTTTGGCTACACACAACAGAACTACATTCCCTTTCTTTTAAGCTCCTGTGTTTCTCCCTTTCCCCCTATTACTCTCAGTTATCTGGTTTGCAGGTTCAGTCTCCCACAGAAACAAAAAATTAGTCCACTTGGCTCCTGACAAGATCTCACTAGCATCCCACACCTTCAGGGAAATTGCTCTCTCTATACCTCCACCTCACAGGCCTTTCTCCAAATGTTCACAGAATGCAAAACTGCTCAAAAGTTTGAGCTGCACAGTTTGGCTTTTTCTTCTAAACAGAGATTGTTTTTCACAGTAGACATAATGAAAGTTTAGGATACTGATTTCCATCTCCCAACTTTGTGATGATAAAAAGGATTTAAAAATTACATTCACAGAAATCTTATTAAACATTTTGATAAAAGAATACCACAATATGGCCTCACATTTTTAGAAATAGATCCGATGTGTCTGAAACCCTATTTCACTAGCATTCTGTGCCTGAAGCTAAGAACTCTGAAAGATAACTGCTCCATACCCCCTACATTTCCCATTCTGGAACAACTATTTGGAAACCAAACATTGCTATTATCAATGTAGTGCATTTTATGGGAAGGGAATAAAGAGAAAAAACAATCACATTTTGATGTGGGAGTTCCTATTAGAGTAATTGTCTTCATAAAGATGGGAGACTGTATTGCTTTGTACAAGAAATGTGAAATGCCTTTAAAAATCACCAAACCAGAAAAGTGATTTTCATGTATAGTGCTGTCATTTTAGGTTAGGTGTTTTTGTTGGTTTTTCCTTTGATTGTTTATTTAATCAAGCCCCAAAAATCCCTCTCAAAGCGGATTGTTTAATACCAATGCTATAAAGAAACAGTGATGTTTTATACACATTTTCTATATTAACAGGCACTGGGTTCCTTACTTGCCTTGGGGGTACACAACCCCCACTACACTTCAGGTACTGTCACACTCCAGCCCTTCCTCAACCCTCCACCCCTACCTCACCCCTTCTCATCCCTGCTCCACCCTGCCAATTTCTATGCTGTTCCATCCCCTTGCCCAATCCCCAAATCCTGTTGCATGGCAGGAGGTGCTGGGAGAGGAAGGAATTGATTGGTGGGATCACCAGTGAGTGGGAGCCTATAGACAGGGTGGGGGAGGAGCTAGCTGCTGGTGGGTACTAAGCACCCACTAATTTTTTTCCCACAGTGCTCCAGTCCTGGAGTACCAACAAATTTGATGCCTATGAAACATTGAGTAAAACTGATGATTCCAGTGGAGCCAGGATTTCACCCAAGATGTGTAAACTACTGCCTACAGATACATGGCCCTTTACAATCACATATTCCCTTAATTCTGGGAGGATATATCAGATGCCAAACCCATGTAAAGGGAACTTACGCATGCCTTGTACATTTAGCATTTTTTTTTAAGTGACCAATACTCTCTTGTAGTAAGTTACCTGAAAGTATTTGTTGGCCTGATCACAACCCACTTGCAGGTATTTTAAATCCACTTTCTGCAGCTGGCTTGGCAGTAGAGTTTCAGGTGCACCATCAATAACTTGAACAGGCATAGCTGCTTTATCTAAGTCAGATTAAAAATAAAAACAATTAGTAAAATGACCCTTCACTTTCACAGGCCAATCCTCACCTACAGACAACCCCCTAACCTCAAACAAATTATTTCCAGCAACCAAGCAGCACATTTCCATCATACTCATCCAGGAACCCACACCTGCAATCAACTCCGGTGCCAACTCTGTCCACACAGCTATACTAGCAACATCATCACAGGACCTAATTACATAAACCACCACATCAGAGGCTCATATAACTGCACATCCATCAATGTAATCTATGCCAGTGTTTCTCAACCAGTGGTATGAATCCCCTTAGGAGTACTTGAAAGAAGTCTGGGGGCTATGTCAACACAACTGAAATTTGGAGAAAACTGAATTTTTGTTTTTAAGTTTTACAGTGCTTTATTATTTTTGTACTTTTTACACCTAAAAATGTAATCACCCACCCGGCTACGATTAAGTTGTTCAAACAAATATGTTGCAATGGTAGAAAAAAATATTGTGTGTCTGAAAACTGTAGGTACTGGGGGTACTTATTTTTTTTAAAAGGGGGTACTTTATAAAAAAAGATTGAGAAATACTAGTCTATGCCATCAAGTGCCAGCAATACCCCTCTGCCATGTATATTGGCCAAACTGGACAGTCTCTATAACAAGGATTAATGGACATAAATCAGATATTTGAAAAGGTAACACACAGAAACCTGTTGAGGAACGTTTTAACTTGCCCCAGCACTCATTAATGGATCTCAAAGTTGTCATATTATTACAAGCCCATTTCAAAAACCAGCTTGAAAGGGAAGCTGCAGAACTTAATTTCATTTACAAGTTTGTTACCTGCAATAGAGGTTTAAAAGAAGACATTAACTTGATTACCTGCTACATTCCAGACCCTAATGACATAAAAAGCCAAGCACTGGGTACTTAAGAGTACTTAGAACCTACTCTATCAGGTTATGTCTACACTACCCTCCTAGTTCGAACTAGGAGGGTAATGTAGGCATACCGCACTTGCAAATGAAGCCCGGGATTTGAGTTTCCCGGGCTTCATTTGCATAAACTGGGCGCCGCCATTTTTAAATCCCTGCTCGTTCGAACCCCGTGCCGCGTGGCTACACGCGGCACGAACTAGGTAGTTCGGAATAGGCGTCCTAGTCCAAACTACCGTTACTCCTCGTGGAATGAGGAGGTAGACATACCCTGGGTGTGTCTAGACTACCGTGC